ATTATAGCAATACAATATTTAATTCTTTAAAAAAGAAAAGACATTAATATTTAAAAGCATCTAGTGTATATAATTACAATTAAATAAATAGCCAAGAAAAGAAAAAATTGAATTTATTCTTATTTGATGAACCAAGGTAACATATGCCTGTTTACGAAAGAGTTATAAAAGCATAGAAAAAATATATTGCATTCTAATTTAAAAGCCTTCATAATCAAAAAGTGGTTTATAAGTCTATTCCAACCGATAGTAATTAATTATCCTAATTTATTGTTTAAAGTTAAGGTTATTTAAATTAATCTCATAAAAATTTGAACTAATATTCAAATATATCTTATTTGTAATCCAATAGACTTTCTTAAAATGAGTCAAATATTTAAATGTAAAATAAAGAAGTTATAAAAAGTTAATTAGATTTATGAAATTTTTTTTTTTTTTCTATAAAAATATTTATTAAATTTATATATATTAAATCATATATTATAATTATACATATATATATTTATGTTTAGTGTTATTTTTTTTAAAAAAAATTATTAAATAAATATTTGTTTTTATGTTAAAAATTATATTTGAATTTTTTTTTATGAAGAACAAAAATATATGAGTATTGAATAAATTTTAAAAATATATAATTCATTTTTAGAAATAAATATTAAAATAAAGATTGCTCTATTATTAATTTTTTAGATATTAAATAAATGCTTCGAATATCAAATAAAAGCATTTAAATTTAATTCTAGACAATGTATAAAGCAAATAATATTAGCAATTTTTTTTAAATAGAAGATAACAAAAATAAAATCCCAGATATTATGAAAAATAAATAATATTAATAAATAAAAATAATTAAATTTTAAGCTTTTAAAACAAACAAAAAATAATTTTTTTTCTATTCATATTTTTCATCTAAATTTAAAATTTCATAAAATTAATTAATAGAAAAAGTTGAAAAAATTTAATAAATTTCATACATTAAGTGTTTTGTTTATTTTAAGATATGACCTATGTTTAGTTTGGCTAAATATATATATATTATTTTACAGAAATATTTAAATATTTATTATAATTTTTTTTTTAAAGATTATAAATAAAAAATTAATTAGTTTTGGATAATAAATAATGTATCTACATAATTAATAGATTAAATAAAATCATACTCATTAAATAAAAAAATAAAAATTGTACATATATTTCTTTTAAAATATTTTATTTATAAACTTTTTTTAAATTCAATAATTGTTTTCTTCTTCATATTGATATATATTATATTAAAATCTTTTGTTTAATTAGAAATAATATTAATGTCATAAAAATATTTAAAAATAAAATTTTATTCTGTCATTGTTATTCTATTACTATTTCGATATTAAAATATAAATTTTTAAAATATTAGCATTATCCAATTAATTATTTAATAACATTTACTTATTAAACATATTCATTTTTAAGATTATTTTATAGCATCTTTTACTAGTTAAGTTATTTAGTTTTAAATTTATTAAGTTAATTTAATAATTATTTTAATATGCTATATTTAATAAATTTTCTTTTACAACTAAAATACATTTGCTTAAATAATTAATTTCATTTATCAAATATCAAGTTTTATAAAAAAAAAAAAAAAATTATTAATAACAAAAAAATACTTATATTTTATATATTGGTATTAATAGTTGAATTCATATATATATAGAAGTATTTTATTAAAAATTTTAAGAATTTTAAATATATATATGTTTTTATTTAATAAAAAAAAATATAATATTTTTAAAAAATTATTTAATATATTAAAATAATGTATATAATAACATTTTAATTAAAATATATAATATATTAATACTTTTTATTATAAAAAACAAAAAATCATTTTTTTAAAATTTCTAAAGCTTTTTAAACTTTTTTAAGGATTTTTTCTTAAAAAGATTTAAAATTTAATTAATAATCTTAATAATCAATATAAATTATATTATATCCTTAATTTTTGAAATAAATATAATTCATTTATTCAAATCCTTATTAAATACATTCTACACCTTAAACATTTTTACTATTTTCCAATACAATAATAATTAATTTAATTTTTTATATATAAAAATCAGCATAAAAAGGGTAAAAAACGTAATTTTTTTGCACATTTTAAAATGTTTAAATGATTACTTCAGAAACATATCTTTTCAAACTACTTTCATTTATAAATTGATAATATATTTAAGAATATATTATTTTTTTTAGTAAGTTTTCATTTTTAAAGGAAAAACTTTATGTAAAAAAATCTACCATTTTATATTCATTTTCTTAATTTTATTAATTATTAACAAAGAACATTTAAGTTAAATCAAAGTGTGTATAATTAATATAACTTTAATCTAAAAGAGTTTTTTTCGAAGGAATTTTTCGAATTTCTTAATCCATTTTTTATAGATAAGAATCAACATTTTTTTAATTAATATCAAAAAACAAATTAATTTAATGTTGAATTTATAAAATTTTTTTATTTAAATCTTTACTAAAAATATTTTGTTTAAAAGTAGTTTAAAAATAAACATAAATTGCAAAAATACTTTCAAAAAAAGACGGAATCATGCAATATTAATTAAAAAAAACATCGAATTTATCTTATTAAAAGAAAACTTCAACAGCTTATTTGAATTTAGGCAAAATAATTTAATTCGATAAAAGTATTTAAGAAATCAAAGAAGTCATAATAATTATTTATTTAATTTATTTAAGAATTTTTTCTGGTAAAATAAAATTCTTTTCAGGATTGATTATTTATTTTCTCAAGTTTTTAATTTTTATTTATATTTTATTTAATTAAATCTACATTTTGAAAATATATTTCTTTATTGTATTCTCTTTTATCTTTTTCATTTAATGTTCGAGTATTTATTTCTTCTTAAATTAAAATTTATCTCTCAATTATTTTTTCTATTTCTTCTTTTTTTTCTTATTCTTATTGTTCTTCTTGCTCTTCTTCCTCCTCATCTTCATCTTCATCTTCTTCTTATCTTTTTTAGTTTTCTTTTTCTTCTAATTCATCTTCTTCTTCATCTTCTTCTTCGTCTTCTTCATTTTCTTGTTTTTCTTATATTTATTTTTGAATATGCTATTATTAATTATATATTTGAAGGAATCTCTTTTTATCTGAATAATTTTATAAATGTTCATGTAAAATTTCTTATATTTCTTCTTGTAATTAATTCCATTAATTTATCATCTTATCACCTAAATCTAATTTTTTTACATATACTAATTCGTCGTGAGATATTATTTAAGGATAATTTAACTAATTAAATATTTCGAATTTTTCAAATAATTAATAAATAGTTTCTTCATTTGTTTATAATTATTTTTATTACATTATTTATGTAAAAACTACTCTAAATTATATAAAAGACTCATCTAAATAATATTTATAAACTAAATAATAGTTTTTGAAAAAAGGCAAAAGCTAAAAAGCAAATTTGCTTTGCTATTTTAATAAATAATTTCCATATAAGATTGTTAGGTTTTCTAATAATTTACGGTCACTTTTTTGAAAAATTCTAAATATTATTTTATTTAAATGCTTTTTTTTTTTTTTTTAATTAAGGAATATTTTTTATGTTTATATTTTACTTTTTAATTTTATTTTAAATTAAATTTTTCACTATATACTTCATATTTTATTATTTTTTCAATACTTTTTATTATTTTCTTTAAATAAATACTATATTTTATTTATTTAATTACATTTTAATTGCTTCTATTTTATAATTCATTTACATTTCATAATTAAAAATTTGAGGAATTTATTCAATAAAAAAATATTCAAGTTAATTATTATTATTCGGTTCTATATATTATTCATAGTTATATAATTTACTAATAAACTAAATTTTCAAAAATAAAAAATTTAAATACATATATATACTTCTTTATAAATGATGTTAATATTTTATTCAAATAAAAAATTCAGCTTTTAAAAATTCTAATTATCTTAAAAGAAACATATTATATTTATGAATTAATTGTATTACTATAATTTTAATTCTCTTAAAAACTATTCAAAATTTTATTAATTTTCAAATTGTTATTCAAAATAATTAATAGATTCATGACAATAATAATTATTTTTAATACAAAAATAAAGAATTTAAAAATTCTAGTTAATATTACACTACTTAACGAAATTCAAAGATTATAATACACAAAAAAATCTTATTAATTTACCACATGGTATATTATAAATAGTTATTTAATTTATTAAAAATAGATATTCATCAAGATTTAAAGAAAATTAATTGGCATAAATACGTTATTATATTTCTTAAATTATATAATATTTATTTTAAATCGTTAATATTAACTATTTATTTGAAAATTTCTAGTAATTCATTTTCAAATAAGTTTGAAAAATTTGATTTTCTGAATTTTATGTTTTTAATGAACGCTCTATATCAACTAATGAAAAATATTAACTATTAAATAAATCTTACAATTTTTTTTTATGCTAAACTATAAAAAATTGTTGAATCTAAATTAACTTTTTAAATATTTATCTTTATATTATCATTATTTTATTATTTAATATAGCATAAAATTTAATAAATTTTTAGCCGATTATAATATAATTATTAAAATAAATTTAACTTTTAGATAATTATATATATAAAATAAATTAAAAAATAATTATATAAATATAAAAATATATAAATAAATATATCTATTTATATTTTTTATATTTTTATTTTTATATTTATATTTTTTTACAAATTTATTATATATATATGTATATATCAATATTTTAATTTATATTTTTATTTTAATTAGTTATATTTTTAATATATATGTTTTTTTATAACTATTAATTAATTTGGCGCCTTTTAATTTTTTTATCGCGGAAACTTCATAATTTTTTATATTTTATTTTTTTTAAAAAAGAAATTTATTAATAAAACTAAAATAATATTATAAAATTTCAATTAAAATTAAAAATATTTAAACTAAAAAAAAATATGAGTGGATTTGACGGTTAACCAGTATATTATGTTTATTAAAATTTATAAAATGATGAAGCATTAGGTTAAAATGTCCAAACAAACCTATAACAAGCCCTTGAAGAATATAAGAAATTCTTTTAAAACTGGCTTATAAATAACTAAAAAGTATATATATTAAGTATGAGTTAAGCTTATGAATCTGGAAAAAAAGCTTTTAATGTATTACTCGAAGATATATGTATATATAACGACCATTACTATTAATATTTAATAAATAAGCCTAATGAATTTACTCCTATATTAGAAAGAGCAGCTTCTGAAGCATTTTATGCATCTACAAACAAAAAATATTAATTTTAAGTACTTTTAATAAGCACCTAATATCCAAAGAATTTGCGCGACATAAAAGCCTCTTCAATTGGAAAATTAATAACAGTATCTGGAATTATAACACATGTAACAAAAATAAAATAAAATAAATAAATAAAAACATTATATTAAATATAATATATAGGCTTCTAAACCTTACATAAGAAGTAAAGAAGTATATGTAGAATGTTCAAAATGTCATCATGTTAAATAAATAGAAGTCTCCTAAGGATTAGGAAGTGTATATGTTCCTGCTTTTTGTGAAAGATAAGGTCCTATAACAGAGAAATGTCCTAGAGATTCTTACGTTATAATAACTGAAAATTGCACTGTTTTTGATTAATAGCGTTTAAAATTGTAAGAAAGTCCCGAAAGCATACCTACAGGAGAAATTCCTCGTACCTTTTCTTTATGTGTGGAAAGAAGCTTGATTAATAAATTTAGTCCAGGTACAAGAGTTATATTAACTGGTATTTATTAAGTTTTAGAAAGAAAAGTTTTAACAGAAAAATATATTTCTTAAAATTAGCAAAAAATGAATTACATTTAAGTTGTTGGATACTAATTGGAAGATGAAGTTAAAAGAAAAAATATCAATTTTACTAATTCAGAAGAAGAAAAGTTTAAAGAAATGTCCAAAGATCCTTTTATTTATGAAAAAATTGCCTAATCGATCGCACCCTCAATTTACGGACATGAAAATATAAAAAAAGCTATTGCTTGTTTACTTTTTGGGGGTTCAAAAAAATTACTTTAAGACGGTTTAAGATTAAGAGGAGATATTAATGTATTATTAGTAAAAAAAAAATATATATTTTATATAGATATCAATATAAAAAATATAAGATTGGTGATCCAAGTACTGGTAAATCTCAATTTTTAAAATTCGTATAAAGGATAGCTTCAAACGCAATATATACAAGTGGAAAAGGAAGTTCAGCAAGTGGTTTAACCGCAAGTATTACAAAAGACTTATCAACAGGAGAATTCTAAATAGAAGGAGGAGCAATGGTATTGGCAGACGGCGGAGTAGTATGTATAGACGAATTTGATAAAATGAGGGCCGAAGATCGAGTAGCTATACATGAAGCGATGGAATAATAAACTGTAAGTATAGCCAAAGCAGGAATAACAACTAAATTAAATACAAGATGTAGTGTATTAGCAGCAGCAAATCCTATATTTGGTTCATATAATGATATGTAAAGTGTGGATGAATAAATAGAATTACAAACTACAATTTTGAGTAGATTTGATTCCATATTCATAGTAAGAGATCCTAAAACAAAAGATAATGATATGAGAATAGCTGATCATGTTTTAAATTTGCATATGAATAATAATAATAAAAAACACATGGAGGAAGAATTAGATTAAGAAAATTAATCAGAAATTGACTTGGAAACATTAAGGAAATACATAGCCTATGCAAAGGCGAAAATACATCCACGATTGACTGAAAGATCATCAGAAAAAATCCAAAATTTATATGTGGAAGATAGAAAATTATCTCAATAAGGAAAATCTTCCAAAAAAAATCATATTCCGATCACTGTTCGTTAATTGGAAGCTATTATTAGACTAAGTGAAGCTATTGCGAAAATTTAATTAAGTGAAGATGTAAATGAAGATCATATTAATAAAGCTCATGAATTGTTCCAATATTCTACTATGAATGCGATTTAAAACGGAAGAGAATTAGGCTTTGAATTACCTCAAGAATTATAAGGGTTGTCACTTAAAATTGAAGAAGCTATCAAAAGAAGAGTAGCTATTAATTCGAAGGTTGATTGTTCAAAACTTAAAGAAGAGATGGTTATTAGATGGAGTAATTAGAGAGCTGTAGAATATACTATTAATAATATGATTAAAAATTAAGATTTTAGATAAATTGAAGGTAAAAAAGTTTTACTAAGGATAAAATGAAGGTTTTTCTTTTTTTTATTTTTTGTTATAAAAATATAATACATATTTATTTATTTTTTTATGTTTAGTATTATAATAATTAAAATTTTTTTTTATAATAATAAAATAAATTAAGAATATATATATATATAAAATGAAATAATATTAATTATTAAATATTTATATTTTTGATTTATTAAACAGATTTATTTTTTATTAAAAATATATTTAGTAAAACGTCTAAAAAAAGATTCCCTCCTAAACTTAAAAAGAAATATTAAATTATAATATAAATTTTAGAAGTTATCATATAAGAATTCTATAATAACATTTAAAAAAAAAATATTGATATGGTAGAGTAGAGTAAGATATTGCACCATAACCATAAAAATACTTTTTCATATATAAATAATTCCTAGAAAAGATATAATATATGAAGAAGATGATTATTTTTTTTGATTCTAGATAAAATAAAAATAGTATATTATATTTTCTCAATTTATGGCATATATATGGAAATAGTATAGTATGAAAATGAGAAAAAATCTAAAATAGATTAAATAAAAATATATAATTAATTAGCATTAAGAAATATAAAAATATGAATTAAATACATATTATATAATTTTAGCGGAAGAATTACTTTAAAGCTTTAGAAAATTACACTGAAAAAAAATTAGAGCAGGGATAGCTACCCTGTCTAACTATAAAAATATAATATTTTAAATGAAAATCTAATATTAAATTAGACAAACAACAAATTCTTAATATTTAAGTATTTAATGATTATGTATTTCTTATAGTTTGGCATAGAGAAATAAAAGAAGATGAATTTAATTGTGAAAAAATTAAAATTATATAAAGAAATCACGAAAAAAAAAATATGTATTATGGTACAATATTAGCCTTTCTATTTTAAAAAATGAATAATAAAATTACAATAAACATTTTATAGTATTAAATATTTTTTAATTATATTTTAAGATTAAATAATTTACATAATTAAGAAAATATTATTAAGATATATGATATATATTTAAATTATATATTTTTTATTACATAGATTATTATATAATATTAAAAAATAATATTTTTCTTCCAATTTAAACATAAATTTATCACAACTTAATTTCTTATAATATAGATAACAATAAAATATATACTTTTATAATGAATTTAAATACTTTGATTTAAATAAAAATAAACAAAATTAAAATTTATGGTTTTTTTTTATATTTATAAATATGCGTTATTTATTATTTAAATAAATTTATGCATTATTTATATAACTTTATCAAAATATTTCTTTTAATAATATTTTTATTTATTTTATTAATTTTTAAATTGATAATTATTATATTTTTAGTATAAAATATCTATTAATTATATTTACAATATATGAGTGTTTCTTTTATATAATAAAAACACACATTTTTTGAATTAGAATAAAATAAAATAATTAAATTAATTATTTAAACAAATATTTAATATAGAAAAATAAAAAAATATTTATATAATATTATAAAAATTATAAAAAACAATTATAATTTAAAAAAAAAAATCAAATCAATAATTCAATATCATTTAAACTAAAAAATTAAATGTAAGAAAAAAAAAGCAGAGATTATTTAATAGATTATGATGAAGATTTAATATATGAAAAAAAAACTATGAGATAAACAAATTGGAGATGGTATGCATTATTTTTAATGTGCTTTATGGTATTAGGATCATATATGTGTTATGATTTTCCAGCAATATTAAATTCTTAAATATAAAAAGATTTAAAATAAACATCTACAAGTGTCAACATATTATATTCCGTATATTCACTTCCAAATATAGTTTTGCCTTTATTCGGTGGTTATTTATTAGATTATTTAGGAATTCGAAAAGGCATATTTATATTTACTTTGATATTACTTTTAGGACAATTCACATGTTCAATTGGCGTTAATAAATCAACATAAGATTTCAAGTTATTAATTATTGGAAGAGTTTTGTATGGATTAGGAGGAGAAGTATTATTAGTAGCATAAAGTATATATATTTATTTTCTAAATATAATAATAATAATAATAAATAAAGGTACTATTATTAGTAAATGGTTTAAACATAATGAGCAATCATTTGCTTTTGGCCTAAGTATTACTATTATTAGATTAGGATAAGTTTTCGGAGGTTTTCTTTTTCCAGTATTTCAGAAAAGTTATAAATAATTATTTTATCCGTTAATTTTTGGAACCAGTATTTGTTTTTTTAGTTGGATATGTGGTTTAAAGTTGATATATTTAGATAGAAAAGCTGATTTAGAAGAATATGATATTAAGAAGAAAAAAATTGGTAATTAATTAGACGATGAAAATAATTAGTAATAAGACATTAGTATAAAAAATAATTATGTAAATAAATCAGAAGAAGAATAAGAATTAAAATTTCTTTAAAAATTAAAAAATAAAAATAAAACTCTAAAGGATACTAAAGTAAATATAAAAGATTTAAAACTTTTGAAATTTAGCTTTTGGTTATTATCTTTTTCTACTCTTTTTTTTATTCTTCTTTTTATTGTTTTCTTATCAATCTTTAAGATTAATTAATTAAGATTTATTTTTTTGCAGAAGATAAGGCATGTAATTTTAAATATTATAAAATAATTTATTTTACAATATTTAATATATTATTAAAATAAAGCTTATTTTCTTATATTACCTTCTTTCATAGGAGCTGTTTTAACTCCTATTTTAGGATTAATAATTGATAAAATAGGAAAAAGAGTATTATTTATAATGATTTCTTCTTTGATATTAATATTAAGCCATATTTTAATCTTAGTATTATCTCCAGTTTATAATAATGTAATCAAATCGAACGCAGATTATATAGTAATAATTCCTTTGACTTTATATGGAATATCTCTTTCTTTAAATTGCGCTATACTTTGGCCTTGCTTTCCTATTATTTGTAAAGCAAAAATAATAGGAATTGCTTTTGGAATTAATACCTGTGTTTATAATGCAGGTTTTTAATTTAATTTTTTATAAATTCAGTTTTCTATTTTATTATTTATATTTTTTTTCAATAAATAGGTTTAGTTATTGTGCCTATTATTGCAGGTAAAATAATAGAAATTAATAAAGAAAAATTATTAGGTTATTTTTATTATTAGGTATTCTTTATTTTTTTAAGTTGCTGTAGTTTTTTAATTAATGCATTTATGTATTTTTATGATATTAAATATAATTATAAAAAACTTGATAAATCTTATTTTAATTAGCCTTTAAATCCAGAAGATAGTTATTTAAAAAATTCTTAAGCTATTTTCGTGCGTAGAGCTTTTAGAATATGAAAAAATAATATTATATTTATATATTTAATAATTAGTTTTTATATATTTTAATAGAAAAAAAATTTTAAAAATATTTTTTGTCATATAGTAAATAAATTTCATTTTTAAATTAATTTTTTTTTAAAAAAATAAAATATTTCAATATAAATATTTTTATAAAAATAAATAAGTGAATTTTCTAAAAATTAAACATTTTTCAAATAAAATTATTCGAATTTATATATATATTTTTATAATAAAACATATAATTTTTAGATATGTATTTTTTTTCAATCATTTTCTTTTTATTAAAATCTATTTCTTTTAATTATTCCTTTCTATCGTTTATTTCTTATTTATCTTATTTTTTCTCTTATTCCTTATATTTTGACTATTATTTATCGTCTTTCTATTCTTGTTCATCTTCCTGGTTTTTCTCTATTTATTCTTAAACTTAAGTTAAATATTCTTCTTTAGTTTCTTAAAAGCTATTATCTCTACAGCATAAATTTAGACAGATACAAGGTATTAGAATTACTAAAATATAATTTAAAAACAAAGCAGCCAAAGTGTAAGGATAAAATTCTTTCTTTATTTACTTTCGATGAAGATCAAAACAATTTTATTTTGGCTTTCCTCTATTAATGTCAGTAAAAATAAAATAATTAATTTTTTTACAATAACCAGAACATCCTTATAACTCTAACTATTAAATAATTTAAATCTTATCATTTAAATCAGGTTAATATTAAATAATTTATTACATTTAGGGACATTTAATGGCATTAATTACTCCATTTTATTAATCTAAAATAAATTTTTGACTATTAGCATTTAAATAATGAGTATTATTTTACCATTTACAAGGACATTCATTTGTGCATAACATTTTTTAACCTTTTTTATATAAACTTTCGATATTTTAATCTATTAATTAATTAAATTATATCTAAGAACAACTTTTATTTGTATCGAAAAATGATTTTCCTATTTAATTTAAGGTGTTAAATGCTATTATAAAAACAAATGATAATAATATTGTTATTAATCCATATATTAACTTTTTCGAAAATCTTATATATGTGCAAAATCCAATCAAAAATAAGAAAGCTATGAATGCTAATATTAATAAGGCACTAGTTCCCATTATGTATATTTTCATTTAAAAATAAGAATACATAGCAAATAAATATATTGCTAGAATACATAAAGAAAAAATCTTTAAAAAAAAATTTGACATATTATAAAAAAATGACATTTTTTTTAATTATATTTATTTTGTATATAAATAATATAAAAAATTGAAATATTTATAATTATTTTTATTTAAATTTATATTTAAAAAAAATAAATATAATGTTTAAAATATATTATATAAAACGATTAAAACATAATTTATAATTGACTTATATGAGCAAATAGTTAATAGAATCTGTATAAACATATATCATAATTTCAAAAATATTATTTATATTCTATTTTTGAAATATTGATTTTAATTAAACTTGCGAATATGTAGGATTAAATAAAGAATAATGTATATAATTTAAAATAAGAATTATTTATTCTTTATTTATAAGCTTTTTAAATTATACAAAGTAAAATAATTTAAAGATTTAATAAAATAAATTATTATTTACTTAAAATATATATTATTATGTTTATTTATTATAATTTAAATTTTTTTTTAATATATCAGTCTTAATATAATTCTATTTATTCTAACAGATTTTCTTTATTTAATAATCCTAATTTTACATAGCTATTCTTTTTTTATATAAATATTTTATTATATATAATAATATATTTAAAAAAATATTTTTTACAATGTTATTTTCTTTATATGATGAAAGTCTGGAAGTAACAGAACTTCTTTAACTCAATCTTTCTTCTTTGTATTTTTAGTTTTATTAATATTTTTCGATATCATTTAAAATTTCTTTTTATTATTCTTATGTAACTGTAAATTATTACTCATGAGGTAAATTTCTAAAATAAAATGCATAAATATTTTAAAAATAAACAATAATTTATACTTTTCAATTCCAAATTCATTCCAAGGTCCAATATTATTTTGAAGTAAATTTCCTTATTAAGTATCTGATTCTCCACCTAAAATTTCAGGAAGATTTTCTTTTGGAATCTATTATTATAATAAAGTTATAAAAATGAAATTAATATTTTTTTTATAAATTTTATTTTTTCTACTTTATTCAACAATTCATCTTTATAAGTTTATCCTAAAATACTTATTTTTTTGAAAGTATTTTTCGATAGTATTTATTAAATTACATTAGAAACAAAAGTTATTAGAGTATATTATTCATTTAATATATAAATTCTTTTTTTTATTAAAAAAATATAAATATATAATTTAATTCTAATAAAAAAATTAAACTTTTTTATAATTTCAGGATAATTTTAATCCATAAAAGTTAATAAAAATTAAATATATCTTTTAAATTAAAATGGTTTTATGTTACAATTATTCAAATCTAAAATAATTATAATATTGCTAACAAATTTATCTTATTTATTCCAATAAGAGCATACTGGGAATATTCTCTAATTTAAAAATTCTAATAATTAAATATAATGCATTTTTATTCTTTCTTCTGTTGTATAATTGAATATTTCATCAATTGAAAATTCAGATAGTTTTTCAATATATAAAGGCCTTCCCTTATTTTTAATAAAATAATAGATTGAAAAATAGTATTTTTTTAATTTACTTTTTTATCTGTTTTATAAAATCCATGCTTATAAATATTAAATACTTATTAAAATTCAAAAAAAATAAAATCCTTTAAAAATATTTTATTTTAATTTAATTTAATTTTTATTTATTTTATTTTTATTACTTTTAAATAATTTTATATTTTATTTTATTCATACCAAGAAAAATGCTTTTAAATCATTTATAATGCCTTTTCATTATCGAAATTGTTACATTTAAAAAATCTATATAAATAGTGACTTTTGCACAGTTAAGTACAATTGTTTTATAATTTAATTTCTTCAATTAATTTTATTATGTTATTAAGTTATTCTTCGCTTATTTTTTTTAAGTATTTTCTTTTGCATTAAATTCTTTATATTAATATTTTAAAATAAATATATAATCGAACATTTTTATTTTAAAAATATATTTATATAATAATTATTATTTATTGTTTTTTAAATATTTTTAAAAATATAAAGGTTTATTAATTTATTATTTTTTTAGATAATTTACTCAAAATTTTTTTCTTCTTATTTTATTTTCTCACTTATACTTATTTTAACTTATGATATTTTTAAAAGATCTTCTTTTTATTATATTGAAGCTCGAGGAACCGTTTTTGCTAAATCTTTTTATTAAATACCATTTCTGGACTCTACGCAACCCATTATTTAATTAAAATTAATTATAATTTAAAAAAATATATATGATGATAATAAAATAAGAAAATAATCAATATAAAAAAAGAATATTTATGAAAAATAAATAAAAAAAAATTAATTTGAATTTTATTTAATTTTAAATTTTAGTTATAATTTTATTTTATAGAAATTGTTTAAAAAAAAATATTAAAATATATTTATATTATTGATATAAATGATATTTTCTTTTAATATAAATTTTTTATATTTTATATTAAAAATTATATATTGTAATAATAATTATAAAAGTTTAAATATATAGATAATAATAAAATAATAATTTATAAATATAAATAATTATATAAGATAATTTAGTGTATTAAAAAAATAAATTCGATTTTTAAATAAAAAATATAAATTAAATAATAAAAAATATTATTAAAAAAATTGAAATTATTAAAAAATAATATAAAAATAAATCTAAATAAAATATTTAAAAAATATAATGATATCAATTTTAAGTTTTATTTATTATATATAAAAAATTATAATATATAGAAATATATATATATATATATATATATATATATATATAATATGCTATTAT